GGGGGGGGACGATCCCATTTACACCAGTGCTAGCCATGGGGTGGCTCCCAGTAGCCCCAGTTCCAGCAGGGAGCACAACAGAGGGGTTTCCAGTTACCCAGTGGCTCAGGGGCGATTCCCAGTTACCCCATTGCCAGCAGAGAGCAGCTCCCAGTTGCTTGATTCTTGGGGTGGGGTAGTTTCCAGTTACCCCAGTGACTGTTCCCAGTTGCCCCCCACCAGCAGAGACTGCAACTGGGCAGGAGTTCCCAGTTGCCCCATTCTCAGTGAGGAGAGCTCCCTGTTATCCCAGTGCCGACAGGGGCCATTCACAGAATCCTCGTGATTGGAAGGGACCTTAGAGATCGAGTCCAACCAAAAAAACAACAAAACCCACACAAACAACCCACAAACAGCCCCAACCCCACAACCCCGGGCACTAGAGCGTGCCCTGAAGAGCCACGTCTACACGTTTCCTAAATCCCCCCAGGGATGGTGACTCCACCCCCTCCCTGGGCAGGCTGTTCCAGGGCCTGACCACCCTCTCAGTAAAATAATTCTTCCCAATATCTAATCTAAACCTCTCCTGCCCCAACTTCAGACCATTTCCTCTGCTCCTGTCGTTATTCCCTTGGGAGAAGAGGCCAACCCCCACCTCTCTGCACCCTCCTTTCAGGGAGCTGTAGAGGGCAATGAGGTCTCCCCTCAGCCTCCTCTTCTCCAAACTAAACATGCCCAGTTCCCTCAGCCTCTCCTCCTATGACTTGTTCTCCAGACCCCTCCCCAGCTTGGTGGCTCTCCTCTGGACACGCTCCAGCACCTCAATGTCCTTCCTGTAATGAGGGGCCCAAAATTGGACACAGCCCTCGAGGTGAGGCCTCACCAGTGCCCAGTCCAGAGGCACCATCACTGCCCTGCTCCTGCTGGCCACGCTGGTCCTGACACAGGCCAGGATGCTGTAGGTTGCCTTGGCCACCTGGGCACACTGCTGGCTCCTGTTCAGCCGTTTGTCCACCAACACCCCCAGGTCCTTTTCTGCCGGGCAGCTCCAGCCACTCTGCCCCCAGCCTGTAGCGCTGCCTGGGGTTGTTGTGACCGAAATGCAGGACCCGGCACTTGGCCTTATTGAACCTCATCCCATTGGCCTTGGCCCATTGATCCAACCTGTCCAGACCCCTCTGTAGAGCCTTCTGACCCTCAAGCAGATCAACACTCCCACCTAGTTTGATGTCATCTGCGAACTTACTGAGGGTGCACTCAATCACCTCATCCATATCATCAATAAAGATATTAAACAAGACTGGCCCCAAAATTGATCCCTGAGGGACACCACTGGTGACCGGTCGCCAGCCAGATTTCACCCCATTAATCACAACTCTCTGGGCACGGCCATCCAGCCAAGGGAAGGGTACGCTTGTCTATGCCATGATTCACCAGTTTCTCCGGGAGAACGCCGTGGGGGACAGTGTCAAAGCCCTTACCAAAGTCACAACATCCACAGCCTTTCCCACGTGGAGAAGGCGGGTCACATGGTCATAGAAAGCGATCAAGTTGGTTAAGCAGGACCTCCCTTCCATAAACCCACGCTGGGTGGTCCTGCTCCCTTGGCTGCCCTGTGCTTGCTGTGAGAGCTCATTCAAGATGATCCTCTCCATGATCTTTCCCAGTACCGAGGTCAGGCTGACAGGACTATAGTCCCTCAGATCCTTCTTCTGGCCCTTCTTGTAGATGGGCATCACATTGGCCACCCTCCAGTCCTCTGGTACCTCTCCTGTTGCCCAGGATTGTTGGCAGATAATGGAGAGAGGCCTGGTGAGCTCTCCTGCCAGCTCCCTGAGTACCGTTACCCCAGAGCAGGAGAGGTGCAGTAGAGCATAAGCTCCTTGTCCCCTCACGAGGGCCATTCCCAGTTACACCCCTGCAGAAAGGGGTACTGTGGGGCAGGACACACACACACACACACACCCCCATTGCTTCATGGCTGGGAGCTGGGGTGGGGGGGGGTATGCTGCCCACCCCCCCTCCGGGTTCACAGAATCACAGAATCTTAGTGGTTGGAAGGTTGAAACAAAAAAAAAAAAAAAAAAAAAAAAAAAAAAAAAAAAAAAAAAACCAAAACAAAACAAAACAAAAAACCAAAAAACACACCACACCACACCAAACGCCCACCAAAAACACTGCACCCACCAACTAAACCCCACACTCAACACCTTGCCATAAACCAATAACCTTGGGCACTAGAGCATGCCCTGAAGAGCCATGTCTATACGTTTCTTAAATCCCTCCAGGGATGGTGACTCCACCACCTCCCTGGGCAGGCTGTTCCAGGGCCTGACCACTCTCTCAGGAAAGTAATTCTTTCTAATATCTAATCTAAATCTCCCTTGCCGCAACTTCAGACCATTTCCTCTGGTCTTGTTCCTCACCTTCTCAGCCCGGATGGTGACGTGGCGGTTGGAGGTGGTCACCACGATGTCGGGGGGCTCGAACTGGCTGACGTCGGCCACCACCTGGTAGGTGTCCCCCTGGGCACGCACCCAGGTGCCCAGGCTGCAGGAGCACATGGTGCCCGGGGACCCTGCGGGCATCAGGAGGGGCTGCCGTCCATGGCGGGCACAGTGGGCTGGGGGGGCACTGGGGGCTTGGGAACATTTGGGGTCCTGGGGCATTGCAAGGGGAACTGGGCACCCCAGGGCATGGGCACATGGGGGTCTGGGGTGGGAGTCTGGGGGTAGCAGGAGGCACAGAGGGGTCTGGGGGCACTGGGTGGCCCGGGGACAGCAGAGGAAGGGCGCAGGA